CATGGGTAGGAAAGAGTCACACTGTAGTCGTTACAGGGCATGTCTACACCTAGGTTTTTGCATTCTTCTGTACATGCTTACCTATATGCGTCTTTCTCTGTGAGTACCCCACAGGGGAATATCCTCACCTGTAGCTATGGTAGAGACCAGGCAAAAGGAAACCGTAGCAAAACCACAGGCGAACATTCACTTTGCCAAAGACCCACACAACATTCAACTTTAGAGTGATGATGTGCTCCTGGCACTAGAACAGAAACTAATTTGAGCACTAATCTGCATCCAATTATACTTCTGCAGTCCACATCCCAGGAGTGGACATTTGGAAAGTGGACTATCTCAGCTGCCAACACCTGAAGCAGGGGGAATTGGTCCTTCAACCTGCAAAATTTTATCTAATATGTTAGAAATGGGGGACACTGGATACAGGCATTCTGGACTTCAGAATCAGCAACATATTACCTCAAATTGTGAACAGGACTAAGGATCCTCTTGTGCTGGCCTCTGATGTCCTGATTATGCCCTGGTCAACCATCCAGTGTCTTCCCTTGAGTGCAAATACTTAGTCTTCTCAAAAAAATTGAGCAAGAGATGAAGACACTGAATTTAATTGTACCTAACTGGCCCAGAAGGACCTTGCACACAGACTTACTTTGACTTCTAGGAGATGACCCTACCCTTTTCCCAACAGGCCTGCTGTCTTGGGGCCTCTCAGTCTCTGGCTTTAATGTCATGGCTGTTGAAGCACAGGTCTGAAAGCAGAACTAAACCCATTGATTTACCAGCTTTTCAAAATTATTACATTCAAGGCGTGAATAACTATTACCATTGCTTATTTCCTCAATCAGCCTTTTAAGCTATCAAATAGCTGGTGTTATATTTGATCACACATACAGCAACATGGCAACTGCAGGTCAAACAGAGGTTAAGATGCCAGCCTCACTGAAGAATAGGAGAGATAGGAAAGAAAACTGTCTGAATTTAAAAAAGAGTGGTCTGATTGTGGCAGGATATTTTAATTTTTGTTTGGATCCTCAGTTGGATACGTCATCGGGTACACAGAGAGAGGGTGGGAGGAAATTAAATTTCCTGAAGAGGCTATTATATCAATATCAATTGATGGATACCTGGAGTGTTGAACATCCAAGAGAGAGAGCTATTACACCTTCTTCTCTTTAGTACATGGAAAGTATTCAAGACTGGATTATATTATGATCGATCATAGACAATTGGAGTCGTTGGTGAGCTTCAATATAGAGGTTATGTCTATTGCTGATCATGCTCCTGTCACAATGAGACTGCGGGTAGGAGGGGATCAGGAAAGGATAAATACCTGGAGGTTAAATGAGATGCTTATGCAAGATCCTGAAATAGAGAAAAGGTTATGGAAGGAAATTGAGCAATTCTTCCTAATCTATGTGTCTCTCAAGTTGTAGCCACGGAGGACATTTCCCCGGCTACAACTTGAGAGACACTTATATTAGGGGGAATATTGATTGCAATAGGAGCAAAAAAATAATAAAGACTAAGGGGGGGAATAAATAAGGTGAAGGAGGAGCTTTATAAGTTAGAGCAGTCACATAAAAAGAAATTGGGTTCACCAGAAGATAATTATTAAAAGAGAGGAATTAAAAGACTTTATGGAACAGGAGTCGAGAAGGATACTTAATAGGGTATCAAAAGAAAGATATCAGTGGGGGAATAAACCTGGAAAATATTTAATGAGGAGGTTAAAGGAAAAAAAATAAAATTTATAGATAAAATTCAAGATGGTAAAGAACTGGTGTACGCCACTACTGATATTACTAGCAGGTTCCATAGTTATTATAGAAAGTTGTACAATCTGAGCCTTAGAATCCAAAGAGAATTGGAGGATGAAAAAAAGAGAAATGGACAGAATTATCTAAAGGAGGTGGAGTTTCAAAAAATTGCAGATCAAAATATAGAGGCCTTAGAGCTATTACCCCGGAGGAAATTGTTTTGGCCCTGAAGAATACAGCCGCAGGAAAAAGTCCTGGTCCAGACAGATACACGATAGGCTACTTTAAAAAATGTAGAGATCTTTTGGTCCCGTAAATTTGTGGCTATATGAATGCAATAGGAGAGGGGTTAGAAATGAAGGAAGAGTCATTGCAAGCATATGTAACGGTCATACTTAAGGGAAGGATAGCTCCCATTGTGCTAGTTACAGGCTCATATCCCTGTTAAACATCGATACAAAAGTTATGCTAAGGTATTGGCAACTAGATTGAAGTTGCTGAAGCCGGAGTAAATGCACCTTGACCAGGTAGGTTTTATCCCCGGAAGAAAAGGAAGGGATAATGGCTTGAGATCATTTTTCCTATTACAAAAAGTAAAGCGAGAGAATCAACCGACATTATTCTTGTTGATGCTGAAAAAGCTTTTGACAGGCTCAACTGGGGATTTATGTTTGATACGGTAGAGGTCTTAGGAATAGGGCCTAAAATGTTGAAGAGGGTAAAGGGACTTTATAACGGGCGTCAGCGGCGGTTAAGGTAAATGGATCCCTCTCTCAATTCTTTAAAATGTATAACGGAACTAGGTAAGGATGTCCACTTTCTCCATTGTTGTTTGTTCTATCTCTGGAACCCGTCCTGGCGAGGGTAAGACAGTGCGTATATAAAGATAGGGGAAGTGGAGCATAAGGTGGCAGCATACACAGAAGATATGTTTTTTTATATTGCAAATCCCAGAATAACGTTGCCTAATTTAATGAGATTATTGAAAAAGTACGGGGAGTTATCAAACTTGAAAATAAACTCCAAAGTCAGAGATTCTAAACATCAACATCCCTAAGTCAGAAAAGCTGAGTCTATAAAAAGAATTCCCATTTACTTGGAGGGAAGGAAATAGGTTATCTGGGAATAAAATTGACCCCTTCAATAAAGGGCCTATACCAGGCAAATTATATCCCCTTAATAAATTAAATAAAAGATGAGTTGGGGAGACTTTCTAAGCGAGGAGCTTCCTGGATAGGTCATGTAAATCTGGTAAAGATGTTGATAGTACCTAAAATTCTATATAAGTTTCATATGCTTCCAGTAAATTTACCAAGGCCTTTTTTTTGGGATAATAAAGAAGATGATACTCAGATTTATATGGGCAAATAGTAGACCGAGAATTTGGTATGAGGTATTGTGTAGGGCTAAAGGGAATGGGGGATTGGGTTTGCCGAACTTTAGGAAGTATTATTTAGCTGTGTTGTTATCACGATTAGTAGATCGGATATTTAATTCACAAGAGAAAGCTTGGGTAAATATGGAAGAAATTTTGAGTAAGGCACAGTTAGAAAAGATTGTTTGGATACCACATAATTTTCATATATTAGATGTAAACACAAGTTCACTGACCAAGAAAGTTTTTTAAGTGTGTGGGATATAATATATAAGCAAAAGGGATGAAAATATAATTCTGTATTGACTCCCTTGGTCGGTACGGAGTATTCTCCCCCCTGGATGGAAAATATGGATTATGGATAAAAATGCATGTTTGAAGGATATTTTGAATAAAGGGAAATTGCACACTTTTCAGGACTTAAAAGAAAAAAAAAAAGAGTTATTTTTCACATTAGATGAGTGGTGACACGGCCAATTAGGACATTTTGTTGCAATGCTCCCACAAACATTAAGGATGCTGGAGGATATGTATCCATTTGAAAAATTGTTGAACATAAAGATGGCGCCAAAACAAGCCACCTTGAGGGATATATAAGATCCTTATGGATCTGGAAGGATCTGATCACGCCCCCCTTCTTGGGAAAATGGGAAAAGGAGCTTGGAACAGAAGCGAATGAGCAAAAAAAGAATACTCAAAGTTGCACACAAGGATAAATATAAGCACAGTGGAAATGAATTACAAATGTTTAGCGAGATGGTATGTTACACCAAGTGTGGCACAAGCAGCAAGGGGATATTTCACCTTTATGTTGGAGAGGGTGTGGGGAAAGGGGAACAATGGCACATATATGGTGGGATTGCCTGAAAATACAGGTCTATTGGAAGGAAATAATCCATTATAGGGATTATTTTTCAGAAAGACCCGTGGATGTCTTTATTTTATAACATTGAGCCTATAGTGAAACCATATCAAAACAAGATATTATATCATTTAATCAGTGCAGCTAAGGGCCTGATCCCTAAGTTTTGGCGGTACTCAGAGCCCCTAAGAATAAATGATTGGATAAACAGAGTCAAAAATATTTACAGATTGGAGAAACTATATCATATGGAGGAGGATAAAATGGAAAGATTTAGGAAACCGTGGAGTGTTTGGTCAGATTTTAAAACATCTAAAAGATATCTGGACATGGTCTGGAGTTCAGGGGGATAGCCTAGAGAGATTTTGACGGAATATCGGACAGGGAGAGTGGGTGAGAAGGGGAAATGTTATAGATTTAAACAGATAAGTGTAATGAGGATTTGAAAGCAGGCAATGTGTGGACAGGGGTACCTGGGGGGGGAGGGGTGGGTGGGTGGGAGTTGGGAAAGGAGCTTAAAAATGGTATTATGTATTTATAAATTGTACGTGTATTAGGTTGTTTTATATCGGTTTGAAAAAATTAATAAAAGATATAATAAAGAAAAAGGAAATCTTTATTCCATTAGAGTCTACCTCAAAGTAACAGCTTTCATCAGGAAGACCGATTCCCTGTTTGTCCTCTAATTGAGGGCCTTGCAAATGATACTTTGCTTCAATGATTGATTATATTTATCATAGGTACGTTTAATAAATAAATGTAATTTAATTTGGCAATAAAGGCATTTTACCTGCATTGACTTTTTATCCCCTATCACAGATATTACCATCTTCCTGTGGGTAACTTGCCTGATGATGTGTCTACTTTTGGCTCAGACCTGTTCTTTGCAAGGCACCTTAAACGTCACAATCATCTCCTGTGGCTTTCCCCAGGCTCCCGACCTGACCTTGGGGGCAAAGAGGCAGATGACAACCGGTTAGTTATGGAGTTCGATGAGAGGGCGTCTGTGGAAATCAACAACCCAGGGTGCTATAATACTGGTACAGATTTTATAGATATTACAGTAACATATAGTATAATTATCTTATTTTTTATTGTGTGGAAGCTTGGAACTGCACATTCATTTTGCAACTGCACTGTAATGTTTGTCATTGCTGCAGTGTGTGTGGAGCTGGATATTCAGAGCCTGGCGGTAAACAGTATCTTGCAGTCACATCACATTAATGACCTTGAAGGTGCTGGCAGTATAGGCATCAGCTTTGATGTACTGCAGCAGGCATCCCTTGAAGATATGGTTACTGGAAACCAGGCAACAGCTGTTGCTAGTTACGACGAGACAGCGCTTTGCTCAAACACCTTCAGGTACTGTGTTCTTTGTGGAAGTTTCAGTAAACTGTAATCCTGTAAATTTGCAGGTTTCCTAAAGTGCTGCATATTTTAAAGAGCACAGTGACTAATGAATCAGAGAATGCCAAATGTATTTTGTAACCCATGTAGTCATGCCAAGATGGAATCAGATGTACCGTATTTTTCGCTCCATAAGACACACTTTTTTCCGCCCAAAAAAGGGGGGAAAATGTCAGTGCGTCTTATGGAGCGAATATAAAGCGGCCGGTCCGGTAGTTCCGCCGCCACTATGTCAGAATACTGGGCCGGCCGTTCTCTGTGGCAGGAACTCACCTGTTCCTCAGTCCAGCGCTGTAGTCTTCCCGCGCCGGCTTCTTCCCGCCCCGGCATCTGTGACAGCCGGGTGCCCGCTGCACATGCGCAAGAAGCGCTGCGCTTTGTGAATGGTCCAGTGTCTTCTGGGACACATGACAGGTCCCAAAACACGCCGGGCCATTCACAAAGCGCAGCACTTCTCGCGCATGCGCAGTGGGCACCCGGCTGTCAAAGTCGGGTGCCCACAGTATAGGAAGGAGAACTCCGCGGAATTGGGAGCGGGTACCTGTCAAATTCAGGTACACACTCCCCCTCCCTCCCTAAAGGTCCGCAGTGTCTGGTCATCTCCTGTACTGTCCGCAGTGTCTGGTCATCTCCTGTACTGTCCGCAGTCTCTGGTCATCTCCTGTACTGTCCGCGCAGTCTCTGTACTGTCCGTCATCTCCTGTACTGTCCGCAGTCTCTGGTCATCTCCTGTACTGTCCGCAGTCTCTGGTCATCTCCTGTACTGTCCGCAGTCTCTGGTCATCTCCTGTACTGTCCGCAGTCTCTGGTCATCTCCTGTACTGTCCGCAGTCTCTCTGGTCATCTCCTGTACTGTCCGCAGTCTCTGGTCATCTCCTGTACTGTCCGCAGTCTCTGGTCATCTCCTGTACTGTCTGCAGTCTCTGGTCATCTCCTGTACTGTCCGCAGTCTCTGGTCCCTACTGTGTCCGGTGGTCATCTCCTGTACTGTCCGCAGTCTCTGGTCATCTCCTGTACTGTCCGCAGTCTCTGGTCATCTCCTGTACTGTCCGCAGTCTCTGGTCATCTCCTGTACTGTCCGCAGTCTCTGGTCATCTCCTGCCGAACTGCACAAAGCGCAGCGCTTTACTGTCCGCAGTCTCTGGTCATCTCCTGTACTGTCCGCAGTCTCTGGTCATCCCTGTACTGTCCGCAGTCTCTGGTCATCCCTGTACTGTCCGCAGTCTCTGGTCATCCCCTGTACTGTCCGCAGTCTCTGGTCATCCCCTGTACTGTCCGCAGTCTCTGGTCATCCCCTGTATTGTCCGCAGTCTCTGGTCATCCCCTGTACTGTGTCCGCAGTCTCTGGTCCATCTCCTGTATTATGTCCGCAGTCTCTGGTCCATCTCCTGTCCATCTCCTGTATGTATGTCCGCAGTCTCTGGTCCATCTCCTGTATTATGTCTGCAGTCTCTGGTCCATCTCCTGTACTGTGTCTGCAGTCTCTGGTCCATCTCCTGTACTGTGTCTGCAGTCTCTGGTCCATCTCCTGTACTGTGTCCGCAGTCTCTGGTCATCTCCTGTACTGTGTCCGCAGTCTCTGGTCATCTCCTGTACTGTGTCTGCTGTCCATTGGTTCAGAATATTTTTTTTCTTGTTTTTCTCCTCTAAAACCTAAGCACGTCTTATGGTCAGGTGCGTCTTATGGAGCGAAAAATACGGTAGTTATTTTGTTTTGTTTGTTCCCCTCTAGGATTTTGAAGAGCATGGTGGTGGGTTGGGTAAAGGAGATTACTCAATACCATAATGTCTATGCAGACAATCAAGTTATGCATTTTTACCGATGGCTACGAACTCCATCCTCACTTCTTTATGACCCTGCTCTTCACCGAACTCTCCACAACATGATGAAGAAATTGTTCCTACAGTAAGCAAATGTGTGATACCATAGTGATTTTTAAATAGCGCTTGGATTAAAGTACATGTAAACCCATAACTGAACAACATGTAGCCTCCACTGTGTATCTGAACAAATTGGATTTAGTTTGTCAAACAGTTAATCAAAAACATGGTGCTTAACACAAATGCACTTTCTTAGAGCCTTAGGCAGCCCATAGTTTTCTTTCTTCGATGCTTTAGCTCAGTTCCCCCTTCACATGCCTCCCGCATCGCTATTGTATTTTGCCTGTAGGAGGGGGTGGGAAGTCTTCCCAGCTGGGAGAACACTGATTACTGCTAGCGGCTATAGCTGCTGGCAGTAATCAAATGCAGAAAATGTTTACAGGCTGGTTGTAACCAAGTCGATCGATGGATCGACTTGGGTACAAATCAGCCTGCCCATAGAGTCCCTGCTGAACCGGGTTAATGTCGACTGATTTATGGCCTGCTTTAGAGTCAAACAAATGTGCAGTACCAAGATAGTTCCTTCCTTTTGGTACTCCTTGCTAAGGAATAACAAATGGGATATCCTGAAGATTTTTTGAGACTTATGCAGGCTATACACATAGTGTATAGTGTTCATCCCAGTGAGCTGAACAAAAAAAAAAAGCTTAGAGGATGCCGTACTAACTAAAAGATGTTAGTACAGCGATCTTCCCTGCTGAGCTATTGTATTCAGTCTTTTGCTGCCAGCGCTGATCGGATGCCGGTTTTTAGACAGGGAGCTGTAAACAAAGGCCGAACGTCAGCTGGTTCCTGCAGGATCAACAGTTTTTCCCTGATTTTTTGGCCCATGTGTACCCATCTTTAGTTTGTATTTCTCATGACATTTATCTTTCTCATTCAAGAAAGGTCATTAAAGTACAGTTGCCTTGTACAGCACTTTCAGCGCGGTTAATAAAAATATTTAAAAACAGGTAAATTTTTACACCGTTGCATATTTTGAACATATTGGTTGTAAACCTAGTCCAGAGATGCTTATCTCTTATCAAGGCTTTGCCACAGAGTATTGGACTCTTGAGAAGTCTAGACCATGGAAAATTATCAGTTCGTATAATTATAATCTGATTCTCAGTAATTTAGTGCATTTTTCGTACTTGTTTCTGAAATATATAACACAATAACGTTTTAGAATCATGAACCTTATAAATGCTCTCTGCTCAGATGACTCCTCCTCTGACAGTCCGGGAGAACAATTAGACCATGTAAAAAAATGTTTTGTTTTTTTTTGTGTTTTAATTTGCTTGTGAAAATCAAAAATTACCCTATTTACAGTCGTAATTAAAGCTGAATTCTAGGAATGCATATTTTTGCAGTTACAGTGATCCAGTTCGAACCAGTGTATGTATGCGTGTCTCATACCTGGCTGATTCCTGTGGAATCTGGAGAGCACTGTAGTAGGTCCCCTGCTGAGTGGCTATCCTGTTGCCTATTGAACACAGAAGGTCACTTGCTCAGCACAGGCACCATACAGAAAACACTTTACATTTTCTTAGCGAACGCAATGCGTTCTGTGACTTGACGTCATTGCCCTGCCTCTCCACCTCGTCCAGTCATTGAGAAAATGCAGTTTTCTCTGACACCCGTCTCCAGTGAGCAACTTCCTGTGCGCACTAAGCAGCAGGGCAGCTGCTTAACACAGGATCCAGAAGCCAATGGCAATCACTATAATAGTAGGGTCTACAACAGTGATTTCCGATTTGCATGGAGGTTGCCGTAAGTATGACACGCGTATATTTGGTCCAAGCTGTACCCATGTACAATGGAACAATATGCACATCTGGAATTCAGCTTTTGTTTGTTTTGGAGACTTATGGTAGGAGTAACTAGCTACTTATATCTTTTTATCCCCTCAAGGTTGGTTGCTGAATTTAAACGTCTGGGTTCCTCTGTAGTTTACGCCAACTTCAACCGCATTATCCTGTGCACAAAGAAACGCAGAGTAGAAGATGCTGTAGCCTATGTTGAATACATTACCCAAAGGTAAAATTTGTGGCTCCATTTTCTGATTTTTGTCATCTTGTGATTTTGATTTCTAGCAGCCTGTGTTATGTAACACATTTTCTGTTGCAGCATTCACTCCAGGGAGATCTTTCACTCCCTAACTATCTCATTTTCACGCTGCTGGGAGTTTCTGTTGTGGATGGACCCTGCTAATTATGGTGGGATTAAAGGCAAACTTCCTTCTAGTGTGCACTATGGAGAGGTCAGTCCCAGAAAATTGTTAACGTAGAGTCTTAATGAAGTCACAATGTTTTGGCTGTGTAATGATGATCGTTCTTATTTTAATAATTCAGACTGAGAAGAAGAAATCTCAGGGTAATGAAGAGGGCAGTGAAGAGGAGGAGGATGAAGAAGAAAAACAGATGATCATTCAGATAATGAACAGCCAGAGGACCAGGTTGAAGAGTGCTTGGAAAACAGTTGGAATATTGTGCAATATCTGCCTCAGGCAGCCTCATGTCAGAGTTATTTTTTTTTGATGATCATTTCAGGTAAGTGGTACATTTCTACTTTCGCTTTATGCAATGTAGAACACCTATACATACAGGCGTACAAACTTGTCATGTTCAACAGACCTGTCTGAATACACTTTTTGTTTTTGTTTTTTTAATTGCAGCTTACATTGTGGCTGTCTACCATAGCATGCGGGAGGAGCTGAGACGAAATGCTCCTGGTAGTACTCCGATCAAGCGCAGACAGAATAGCCAAGTGTCTCAAGAGGCAGTAGGGGAAACTGGGGGCCATGCCAGGTGAGAGGCCCTGAACTGGGATTTTCGCATTGTCATGTGCAATATTTATGTAAAAACCTGAATTCTGCAGTACATACTCCTGACCTTTACACTCTGTCATACTTTGCTAATCACTCCTGCACTCTGCATTACTTACTAAACTCCGAACTCTACTTTGTATGCTTCTGACCCCTACACTCTCCTATACTTACTATTGATCCCTACACTGTTACATACTACTGAACTCTTGCGTTCCTTACTAAAAGGCCCTGCACTTTGCTTTACGTACAGATGAACCCTGGTTAGCTTCTGACCCCTGCAATCTGCGTTATGTACTAGTCAGGGGATATTATAATTAAAGGGTCCAAAGGAACCTCACTGATCAAAAAAGCATACACAGACAAACCGACCACAGAAAGAAAGGACTGTAGTCAAGAGATCAGGACAGTTAGAGCCTACATGATGTAAATCCATTGAGGGTCAATACATATTTATACACAAAAAAAGCATGCATACAGTACAGTGCTTGTATGCATTTGGTCAGGCATCTGTTTATGTGTAAGACAACATTGTCTTTATTTGTGGGACAGGGTAGAGTGTTTTTAATTTTTTGTTTTACATTTGTATCATTATGATATTTATTTTTTTAATAAAGGTTTTTTTTTTTGTTTATGAATATGTAACCCTCAATGGATTTACATCCCATAGGCTCTAATTGTCCAGATCTCTTGACTACAGCCCTTTCTTTCTCTGGTCCGTTTGTGTCTGAAAGACAACAGAAACCATTAGATGATGATCTATCACCATAAGAAAAGAAAACTTATCACAAGCCCCTCCCAAGGCATCTTGTGCACATAGCATTCATCCTCATCTAAATGTTTTTTTTTGTAATTCCTTTATTTATATAGCTTGGAAATGCATGGTACAATATATGCAGAATTATAAGAACAAATGGCATGTAAATAACTAAGTTAGAGGTATGCAGGAGTAAATTGGAAATATTATACAACAAACAGGAACAAAAAAAAAAATTGGAGAAAAAATAAGCGGGACTAATAGTCAGTAAAGGAAGCGGTAGGTTGTTGTGAATATCTATAAATAGCCTACGAAGGAGCACCTGAGAACATGGACTATGGGATAAAAAGCATATATAGATAAAAATATCAGAATCAACGGAGGTATCCCAAAAACCCCAACAAAGAGAAACCCTGTTACAGAGGACCAGGTACCGCACTTGGGAAGGCATATTGATAATAATCGTCATATTAAAGGAGGAGACAGTGAGTGAAACTAGGATATGGGGGGGGGGGGGGGGGGGGGGGGGGGAGAACAAGGTTAAAGGGTGGGAGGGAAGAGGGAGAGAAAAAAAAAAAAGAGAGAGAGAGAGAGAGAGTCAGGAACAAAGGGGAGAAGAGGATCAAAGTCAGGAATCTGCAGGTAAGAAAGGAGGGGAAGGGCTTAAGGAAGGAAAGAAGGCCAGCTAGGTGAGGCAAGGCATACCATCTCTCCACTTATGGCCAAAATGAGATACCTCAGACAGATTGAGGGTTCCCTGAAGATAGGCTTCAGTATAAACAAAGTATTGCCATGGTCTCCAGGTGTCTCGGAAAGTCTCTCCTCGGTCGTATAAAGTGGCCGTGAGGGCTTTCATGTCTCTCAGCTCGTTGACTTTGGAATACCAAAGGGACATCGTGAGTGGGTGCACAGATCTCCAACACAAAGGGATGCAGGTTTTCGCTGCATTCAGCAGTTGAATAGTCAGTGAAGCCTTATACTTTTTTTTTATGGGACGGTCAGTAAGGTGCAGCAGACACGCTGCTGGGTCGTTCGCCACATCGACACCTTGCAGACTTTTGATAGTGCTGGTCACTATCTGCCAGAAAGGTTTCATTTTAGGACAAGCCCAGAAGATATGCAATACCGTACCCTGGTCAGAACTGCATCTCCAGCAGAGGTCTGAGACTTGGGGGAAAATTCGATGTAGGGTCGTAGGGACCCTATACCACCTGGTCAAAATTTTTTATCTGGTTTCCTAAACCTTAGAGGCAATGGAGGATTTCTGTGCAAAGTGGAGAATTTTCTCTTTTTGCATGTCAGTGAAACAGACACCCAGGTCAGCTTCCCATTTAGGGAGGAAGGTAGGAATGACATTTTCATGCAGAGATGTCCAGGGCCAGCTTCTGGCTGTGCTTCCAGTTCCATCGCCTTCCAATGTTTTGCCTCTGCATGGCAGTGCCAGTCTACAAACCTCGTTAGATGGGCCGCTTTGTAGTAAACTTGGATATCTGGAAGGCCTATTCCACCTTGTCCTCATCTAAATGTTGAGCAGTTTTGTCCAATAGCTAGCTACCTGTCCAGCAACACTGAATAACAGAGATGTTTTCAGAGTGACCACTCAGAAGGAGAAGGGGCGTGACAGGCAGTGCACACACTGTCCAAACTGCCAGACATAACATCGTTCTGTTACACAAGCTGACAACAGTGCAAGCCTTGTCCAAGACAGTCTAGTGTATTACTTGGCTGTTCCTTTTTGTGAATAAAAGCCCCTTTCTCCAGCCGCTGTCATTCACAACACAAACTGACAATTTGCTGAATAGCAGGCTGCATCTCCTTACTCTGTAAACTAAACAAGAGAGATATGAATACATGGTACTACAGAATGGAAAGGGGGCAGGACTTGGCACTGGCTGTAAATTCCCCCACCTTTGACAATGTCCATAATTTTTAGGATTTGGAGTAGGGGTTATAAACTAAAGCCATCAATGACAAACCAAATCTTTTTCTAACCTCCACTGCTGCAATATAATGAGCTCAAGTGTGACAGGGGACCCCTGGGGATTTAACCAGGTTTTTTTTTTTCCTTCTCCTTCTGTTCATACTACTTTAACACTCCATCCTCCCAAAAAAGGGCAATGTGTTTTTGGTGGACTGAGCCTTTAATTGGCTCTGGTGGTGGCTACTATATATCATAGTAAACACGGTGAAGCTTTTTTTTTTTGTTGTTTTAATCAAAGACCCCATTTTCATAAAATGTTACCTTTTCACCTTCATATATTTTTTCTACACATGAAATTTTAGTAAAAAGTTTGCTTTGTATTTTTTGCTGTAAATCTTATTGTCTGTGTTTTCATTTAATACTCATCTGTCTTTCGCAGGTCTAATTACCTTTTCACAGGACTATGTAGCAAATGAGTTGACACAAAACTTCTTCACAATCACACAAAAGATACAGAAAAAAGTAACAGGGACTCGCCATGTCACTGAGCCCTCTGAAATGTTCCCTGTCTTGCCCGGATCTCATTTGCCCCTGAACAACCCTGCATTGGAGTTTATAAAATGTGTTTGTGAGGTAAGGCAACACAATAATAATGGGAAAGCATTATTCATGACACATAAACTAGTTGAGAAGAACGTTCTGCAATTATCTACAAAAAAGCTTTAAAAATTTTGCATGCATTTGATCAGTGTTTTTATTCTCTGCACATCTGTACATATTTTAATGATCATTTAGACAATGTATAAAAACTCATCAGTGCTTACTAGGCAAAATACCAAAATTAAATGCGCAAACACAATGGTTTAGCCATAGTACTACAGAAGTCTGCTAATAAATTAACACTTGGTTTATGATTTTTTTAGGTCCTTTCCTTGGATTCCAATATAACCAACCAGGTCAACAAGCTAAAGAGAGATCTCTTGCGGTTAATTGACGTAGGGGAGTTCTCTGAGGATGCACAGTTTAGGGATCCTTGTCGCTCTTACATCCTACCTGAGATAATTTGCAGGAACTGTAATTTTTGCCGTGACCTTGACTTGTGCAAAGATCCTTTACTCAGTCAGGTTTGTCCAAAGATTGGAAATATGAATGTTTTTCATATTGCACTGCCTGTAAGCCTCTTACTATTATGATCATCCCTCCCTAACACAGGATGGGTCTGTGCTGCCACAGTGGGTCTGTTCAAACTGCCAGGCGGAGTATGACTCTGACAACATTGAGATGTCGCTGGTGGAGGCTCTGCAGAAAAAGATGATGGCTTTCATGTTGCAGGATTTGGTAAGCTATACACATTCATTTGGTTCATCAATGTCGCCAGTTCTTATTTGTTAAAGGAAAACAATGCTAAGGATTTTGGTAGGGTGAGTTGATATAATATGTAGATGACACATCCATACCCCAGTTACATTGATATGAGGTTTAAAGCCTCAGTTTGTTCAGTTTTCACTATGGGGTAGTAAAAGTAGCACTACAGTAGATCATCTGGCAGGAAAGCATTTATTTATCCAGAGCGAGAGCATAACAATTGTAATTAAAACCTGGAGACACACAAATGATTGAAATGCATTGGTGCTACAGTTTCCAGCATGTTCTGCTAAGAAGCCACTTGGCAAATGGAAAGCTGCTCCGAGACCCATTCCACGTCAGTTGGAGAAATTGTATGACCAAGTTTTACTTGTAGTTTGTAGGCTCAAAATTGCACAGTTCCAATCCTCCAAACTCATCCCTCATATGCTGGAATCAGGTGCTGCCTTGTTACTTCCACACATATAGTTCAGTATAATCCATAGGAAAAGCAGCAGCTGAAGCACATGGTGACGTCCCCACATCATAAAACATGCTCTGCAGTGATCATTTTGTTTTGAATGGCATTGCAACACACAATAATGCATGTTAAGATGCATGCAGTAATACACCGTAAATGTGTGCACCTAGCCAAAGGCTTAATTGAGAGAAAGGCATAGTGCAGGGTTGAAACGGTGGGCAGAGCAGTTGGAAACACTACTGGTCATCCTATTGTTTGTCTTCAGGTAGGGTATTGTCTTTTAATGTCATTTACAAGAGATCTCAGGACACACTGCAGATGAGAGCTCGGACATATAAATGGTAATCTGATATTGAATATTGCTATTGGTGGTCACATTGAACTCCGCTTGTTCTGTAATGTTGATGTTTCATTTGTTATCCAAGCCAGTTCATTTTTCCATTTTTAACTGTAAAGAATTTGTCAGGGTATGTGGATTGATGTTAGAGCCAGAGAGATAATGGTGCCCTTTGATCCCTTTTCATTTGTATGCCTGTAGAGGCTATTGAGACTGTCAGGGAACTTCTGAAACAACATAACTTTTAACAGTCAAACAGAACTGGATCCAGACCAAGTAAGTTCCTTGCTAGACCCTTCTCTCAACATAATCTATTTTAAAGTGTTACTAAAGTCTGATTTTTTTTTTTTTTTTTTTTTTTTTTTTTTTTTTTTTTTTAAATTAAAATAACAAACATGTTATACTCGCCTGATCTGTGCAGTGGTATTGCACAGAGCGGCCCCGATCTTCTACTTCTCGGTTCCTCCTCCGGCGATCCTGGCTCCTTTTCTTCTTTGTGTGTTACCATAGCAAAAGGCTGCAATGGGGGCACGCTGTCCCAAGCTGTTTGTCTATATAGCTGCGCTGCATAGACACACACAGCAGGACTTCCTCCTGCTGCTGTACAACCACTGAATGTCCAGCAACATACAAGTATGTCGCTGGTCCGGAAGTGGCCTTCCACTGTCTGTTCCTCCCCAAGACTTACCTGACTCCTGTATCGATCCAGAGCTGTGCCCGGCTGCAAGTCTTCTCTCCCTCTCTTCCTGGTCTCACAGCCATTGGCTCCTGTTGCTGTCAATCAAATCCATTGAGGACCGATGGACCGGAGGGCTGAGCCTAACTATGTGTGTCTATTGACACACACATAGCCCAGTTTGGGAGCGAGTATGCACCTCTACCCACATAGCAAGCAGCTTTCTATGGGGGCAGAAACAGAGGGAAAGAGGAGGAACCTAGTGCAGCAGCGGGGTCCCTACAAAGAGGTTCAGGGCCATTCTCTGCAATACCATTGCATAGAGCAGGTAAATATAAACCTGTTTATTTTTTAAACTTTGCAACCAGTTTAACCCCTTTGCGCCGGCCGCACACAAATGTGCGGCCGCCCAGCGTCTGGACCTAGACGCCGAGCGCTTGCACATTTTCGTCCATGTAACTAAATACATATGTGCTGAGAGCGCACGCCCTGCGCGCTCCCAGCACACATGTGTGGTACTCACGGAAAGGTCCCGGTCCGCTCTTTCGAACGGGACCTTTCCCGATCATGTGACCGCCGTGACGCGTCATCACGGCGGTCACATGATTCCTAAACCACGCCCCAACCCCCCGCCTCCCGGCGTCTGAATCTCTTAAAGGGCCGGGAGGCATCGGCGGGAAGGGGTTAAGGAAAAGGGACATTCTTTCAAGTATAGTGAAAGAAGCCAGTTCTCTCTGTCCAAAATGTGCACAAGCGGCCATCTAAAAAACTGGAACCAACCACCTCTAACAAGAGTAGGGGGTCTATGACACCATGTCTTTCACATATATTTCCATTTTAACATCATTATTCCAACGATTTGAAAACCACCTTTAGCCATGTGAATCAAATAATCGACATCTATACAGGCTTGACACCAAGGGATGGGATTATGTAACTAGTATAGTAACTTTCCTCCTTTGACCTTGCTACCACCGAAGAGGTCCTTAAGGTCTTCTCAGAAGCCCACCTCACCACCTGCCACCTGGACCCTGTCCCCTCACAACTCCTTCGGTCACTCTCCTCTTCCATCCTATGCTCCCTCACTCACATCATCAATCTGTCCCTCTCTAGAGGGGCCTTCCCCTCCCCTCTAAAGCATGCGCACATAACTCCCATACTTAAAAAAAACCCTTCTTAGACCCCACCAACCTGAACAACCTTAGACCCATCCCCCTGCTGCCATTTACCTCTAAACTCCTAGAACGCTTAGTCTACAATCTTCTGAGCTCCCACCTCACTGACAACAACCTTCTCGACCCTTTACAGTCTGGCTTTTGCCCTCTACACTCCACCGAAACTGCCCTACTTAAACTCTCTAATGATCTGCTAACTGCAAAAACCAACAGCCACTATTCAATACTCCTACTACTCGACCTCTCCGCGGCTTTTGACACGGTTGACCATCCCCCCCTCCTCAAAAAAAACGACACTCTCTTGGCCTCAGCGACTCTGCTCTCTCCTGGTTCTCCTCCTATCTATCGCAGTGCTCCTTCGGTGTTACCTATAACGCTGCCACCTCCTCCTCACTCCCTCTCTCTGTAGGGGTCCCTCAAGGTTCTGTCTTTGGACCCCTTCTCTTCTCCATCTACACCTCCTCCCTTGGTCACTTGATAAACTCCCACGGCTTCAATTACCATTTCTATGATGACGACACGCAAATCTATATGTCTACTCCTCACTTCACCCCTTCAGTTTCCACCCGCATTGCAAGCCTACTATATCGGCCTGGATGTCACTCCACTTCCTCAAACTCAACCTTTCCAAAACTGAGCTCCTGATATTCCCCCCTGCCCGTGCCACCCACACTGACTTCACCATAAATATCGCTAACACCATCCTCAGTCCATCCCCTCACGCCAGGGTACTAGGTGTAATCCTAAACTCCCACCTGTCCTTCCAGCCCAGATCCAATCGCTGACAAAATCATGCAGACTTCACCTTCTGCAACATCTCTAAGATACGACCGTTCCTAACCCCGGAAACCACTAAGCAACTTATTCACTCCCTTGTCATATCACGCCTCGACTACTGTAACTCCCTCCTCATTGGCCTACCTCATCGCAGGCTATCCCCCCTCCAGTCTATAATGAACTCTGCTGCCTGACTCATCCACCTCACTAACCGTTCTGTATCCGCCACCCCTCTCTGCCAATCCCTCCACTGGCTCCCAGTTGCCCAACGGATAAAATTCAAAACACGAACAATGACATATAAAGCCATCCGCAACACTGCCCCAATTTACATAACCGATCTTATCTCTAAATATCACCCAAACCGTACACTCTGATCCTCGCAAGACCTCATACTCTCTAGCTCCCTTATCTCCTCCTCCCATGCTTGTCTCCAAGACTTCTCCAGGGCGTCACCCATCCTCTGGAACTCCCTACCCCAATCTATCAGACTTTCACCTACTCTACTTGCTTTTAGGTGATCACTGAAAACCTATCTCTTCAGGGAAGCCTATCCCGCCCTTTGCTATTTCTGGATTCCTCTACTCTTCCAACCACTCCATCCCCCACAGTTACTACCTACTGTACCATTCACCCCTCCCTCCTTGATTGTAAGCTCCAAGGAGCAGGGCCCTCAAATCCGTCTTGTATTGGTACTGTATTGTCTCCCACTATAATGTAAAGTGCTGAGCAAACCGTTGGCGCTATATAAATCCTGTATAATAATAATAGAATTAAGTGGTTACACAACCTTCACACCTCCCCATCTTGTTTTTGGACAATCCACATCTGCCTTGATATATTCCATGGTGATTGGATTAAAATGTCTGTGCTCCCTGTTTGGATATAAACGCTAATGTAGGTTCCTGACACTCATTAAAACAGAAGTGGCTTATATAACCTATGAAACCTCTTCAGCAATACTGTCCTACCAGCAATACAAGTCCTATTGTGACTCACTATTAGCTATACTATGATCTCGGTAAATGAGAACTTTCACAGAGATGCACTGTAGTCCTCCTCAAGAACCTGGACAGGCAAGTATTTACTGTAAACCTTTCTTGAGAGATATTTGGAGCTGCTATTGCTTCTAAAAATACTAGTTTCCTGGCTATTATGCTGTCTTTCTGGCTTCAGTATTTTGAGTGACTCATAACAACAAGTATGCAGATTATAAAAGTAATTCATATTCCAGTTAGTGAGCTAGGGCAGTGATTCAAGCAAAACCATTCCACCCACCTTTGACTTTATATCCATTTGCTGTCTGTATATTGTGGAAGAAGTAAATGGCTATGAAGAATTACAAACTCTTTGGGGGCTACTAGTATATACTTTTATGGTTTTGTTTTCACGTCCTTAGAACCAATGCATGAATTTTTTTATTACCAATCATCTTTCCTAGGTGTGTTTGAAATGTAAGGGCGTGAAAGAAACGAACATGCCTGTGTACTGCAGCTGTGCTGGTGACTTCAGCCTCACCATTTCAGTTAAGGTAAGTAATAGGTGCATAGAAGGCATTTGTTGTATTGCTTTTTGTATTTTGGGTTTCGACAACAACTTTTTTTTACTGTTTCAGACTCTCATGGAACAGGTAGATGCTTTCCGGAATATTGCTCAACATTACCAAATGCAGCATCTTCTGGAGACAATTAACTGGCTGATGCAACAAAATTCACACCTTTCTAAATGATTCCATACAAAGCTATGGTTTTACAAGGCCCTTCACTCTGTGCTGGGGGACTGGTCAGTATCTGACCCTTTCTGTTGTTTGTAAATTGTAACTTCATAATAAATATTGTACTAATCTACTTATTGTGTATTGTTTTTTTTTTGTTTGTTTTTTACCAGCACTGTGGTAGTAAGCCATTCAGGGTAAAGCTCAATTAAGCTCTAAGACCGCATTACATATAGAGCCATTTTAAGATCAGAACCAACATGGCAATGTTTTTTTTTAAATAAGATCTTTCTCTAATTTGTCTGATGATACATACATTGTTCTCTGTAGCAGAATATCAGATATCAATGTCTGATTTCTGAGTTAAAATGGCAAGGTACAATTGCCATTACAAAAAATTAAAATTCTAATACATCGTATAGTACAGAGCACAGGCTCCTTTATTCATAGACCCTGGATTTTATGCAGCCACTTGCAGGTGTTTAGACAAAAAAAATCTGGGACACAGCAGGCTTCAATCATGAGACACGGCACAGCAGTGCCCCTTCTGCTCCGCAGCACAGGTTGTGAGTACCCATCAGAGGATTCCCTACTCACATGGTAAGCATCAGGCACCCAGGAAAAACCAGAAGGCCAGCACACACTGTGCACTGGGTGATGATGAGGTGAATCCGGTGTTCCTCTGCTAATGTTGCTTAAAATAGGATATCCGTCTCCACCCCTCTGAGTTTCCCTTTAACCCATCAGTTAACCCCCATTCCTACTTTTTAGCCAAAGAGGAGTTTTCGGCTTCTGTGTCAGAGCTCATGGGGAAGGTCTCTGCACAGCTAGTGCCCCATTTTGCATAGTTGTCACTATGCAATTGTGAAAAAAACATTACAGTTTTGGTGGAGGCTGTACACACTTTTCTGATGTTTGAACTGCCCCCAGCTGGGCCTAACTTCAGAAATATGGAATCTGGATGTTTCCAGTCCACCCACTAGTACAGGATGTTTTGTATGAGGACTGTCCACAGCCTGACAAATATATTCTCCTCCCAAGTGATTTGCTCAGCAGTACCCTTTTGAGGTTGGAGGTTGAAATTCCAATGGTGGATTTAGCTATTTTATTCCTCAATAAATTTGATGCTTCCAGTTACGAATGTTCATGTCTTAAACCACTTGCCATCCAGCATACATACATAAATGTCCTGGACAGCAAGCTATACCAGGATACCTGGGGCAACAGTTAATGGTCAGGATGGCTTTCCACAGAGGAGATGGAGGAGCATCCTTTACCCAATTTCCTCTGTGATGAATAAGGCTGGAAGCGATCAGGATTTCATTACTTCCAGTTTCAGAGCTATACTTTTCTGGCTGTTACAGCCTGGGAAGCAAGCAGATCAAACATGGACTATGTTTGATCAGCTGCCCAAGGTGGGTAGGGGAGACACTGGGAATATAGACTCCTGATATCTCTATAACGAGTACTTATCACTGCCAAAAGCTGTCATAAAGGTCCTTGTTCGTCCCTTTGTTATAGCAATAAAGTTCAGTGGGGGAAAAAGAGTGTAAAAATATTATTGTCAGATCGTGAGGAAAGTACTGCCGAGAACCGGCAGTTGTCAGAGCGGGGATCGGCACCGATCATCAGGGCACTGATGATCAGTGCCCTGATGATCGGTGCCCAGCAGTGCCACCCGCAAGTTCTGCCCACCTGTGCCCAGCAGTGCGCCCACTAGCTCCGCCCACCTGTGCCCAGAAGATCACCCACCTGTGCCCAGCAGTGCACCCACCTGTGCCACTCTGCAATGTCACCTACCTGTGCCCAGAAGTGCCACCTACCTGTGCCCAGCAGTGCCACCCACCTGTGCCCGCCCACCAGTGCCACCCACCTGTGCCCACCCACCAGTGCCACCCACCAGTGCAGCCCAGCAGTGCTGCCAGTCAGTGCCCAGCGGTTGTGCCAGTCAGTGCCCAGCAGTGATGCCAGTCAGTGCCGTCTATCAGTACCCATCATCAGTGTCACCTATCAGTGCCGCCTATCAGTGCTGCATATTAGTGCCGCCTATCCGTGACACCTCATTAGTGCTGTCTATCAGTGCCACCTCATTAGTACTGCCTATCAGTGCCCTTTAGTGCTGCCTATCAGTGCCGCCTATCAGTGCCCATCAGTGCTGCCTCATCAACGCACATCAGTGAAGGAGAAAAATTACCTGTTTGAAAAATTTTATAATAAAAACAAAGAAACTTTTTTTTTTTTTCTTAAAATTTTTGGCAATTTTTTATTTATAGCGCAAAAAGTAAAGCGCCCAGTGGCGATTAAATACCACCAAAAGAAAGCTCTATTTGTGAGAAAAAAATGATCAAAATTTCATATGGGTACAATGTTGCATGACCGCGCAATTGTCAATCAAAGTGCGGCAGCGCTGAAAGCTGAAAATTGGCCTGGTAAATAAGGGGGTATAAGTGCCTGGTAGGCAAGTGGTTAAGTGTCACAAAGATTAAATATTTTGTTTTTCAGTGTAACTCATGGATGGCATTGTCTCTCAGGGCTCTTTTGATCACTGAAAACAATCTCGGATACTTAGATTGGCTGGTGGGCCCAATTTAAGGAAAAACTACTAAAAGAGGGTGTTCCACATTATTAAGCAGAGCGCCATTTTCAAGCAATATTGGGAAGAAAAAGGATCTCTCTGCTGCCGAAAACAGTGAAATAGTTCAATGCCTTGGACGAGGTATGAAAACATTAGATAATTCATGAAAACTTAAGCGTGATCAACGCACTTATAAGAGATTTGTGGCGGATTCAGAGCACAGACTGGTTTGTGCAGATAAAGGCACATTGAGGAAGATTTCTGCCAGATCCATGCATCGGATCAAGAGAGCAGCTGCTAAAATACCATTACATAGCAGCAAACAGATATTTGAAGCTGCTGGTGCCTCTGGAGTCCCACGGACATCAAGGTGTAGAGTCCTCCAGAGTCTTGCAACTGTGCATAAACCTTCTATTCGGCCACCACTAACCAATGCTCACAAGCAGAAACGGCTGCATCAGGCATAAAAATACATGAAGATTAATTTTCAAACAGTCCTGTTCACTGATGAGTGCCGTGCAACCCTGGATGGTCCAGATGGATGGAGTAGTGGATGGTTGGTGGACGGCCACCCTGTTCCAACAAGGCTGCGACGTCAGCAAGGCGGTGGTTGGCCCCTTTAGGGTCACCGAAGGTGTAAAGATGACCTCCGCAAAGTACGTGGAGTTTATGACTGACCACTTTCTTCCCTGGTACAGAAGGAAGAACTATGCATTCTGTAATAAAATCATCTTCATGCATGACAATACATCTCATGCTGCAAAGAATACCTCTGCATCAATGGCTGCTATGGGGATAAAAGGAGAGAGTCATGGTGTGGCCTCCATCCTCCCCTGACCTCAATCCTATTGAGAACCTTTGGAGCATCCTCAAGCAAAAGATCTATGAGGGTGGGAGGCAGTTTACATCCAAACAGCAGCTCTGGGAGGCTATTCTGACATCTTGCAAACAAATTCAAGCAGAAACTGTCCAAAAACTCACAAGTTCAATGGATGCAAGACTTGTGAAGCTGCTATCAAATAACGGGTCCTATGGTAAAATGTTTAAAAAGTTAAAATGTTGTTAAAAGTTTGATTGAAATAGTTTTTGATTTCAGTAAATATGCTCCAAACACAACAAACGACAATTTTCAGTTCTTTACAACTTATAAAGTGTTTTGAAACTTACTGTGCGTAATAATTTGGAACAGTGCATTGTAAGTTTATGTTTAAAAAAAATACTGTTATTAGGAGGTTTGTTCAATAAAATTTGAATTGTACTCTTAATAGTTGATAACATGAGAATTATGCTGACTGTTATATACATCAATTATTTAGGTAAATGAGAAAAATATCATTTGCATAATAATTTGGAACAGGGTGTATATACAGTTGTGTTCAAAATAATAGCAGTGTGTTGAAAAAAGTGAATAAAGCTCAAAATCCTTCTGATAGCTTTTATTTCCATACACACAAATGCATTGGGAACACTACACATTCTATTCCAAATCAAAACATGAAGAAAAAAATTATCAAATTTGTGTTGTTCCTCTAAAAAAAATTGAAGAAAAGTGAATATTAGACTGTTCAAAAAAATAGCAGTGTTTGTATTCTTCTTTTGCTTTCCTTTGAATCACTTAATATTTAGTTGTATAAGCACTGTTTCTGAGAACTGCTGTACATCTGTGTTGCATGGAGTCAACCAACTTCTGGCACCTGTGAACAGGTATTCCAGCCCAGGATGATTGGACTACATTCCACAGTTCTTCTCCATTTCTTGGTTTTGCCACAGAAACTGCATTTTGGATGTCACCCCACAAGTTTTCTATTGGATTAAGATCCGGGAATTGGGCTGGCCACTCTATAACGTCAATCTTGTTGGTCTGGAACCAAGATGTTGCACGTTTACTGGTGTGTTTGGGGTCGTTGTCTTGTTGGAACACCCATTTCAAGGGCATTTCCTCTTCAGCATAAGGCAGCATGACCTCTTCAAGTATTCTGATGTATTCAAACTGATCCAGGATCCCTGGTATGCGATAAATAGGCCCAACACCGTAGTATGAGAAACATCCCCATATCATGATGCTTGCGCAACCATGCTTCACTGTCTTCACAGTGTACTGTGGCTTGAATTCAGTGTTTGGGGGTCGTCTGACAAACTGTCTCCGGCCACTAGACCCAAAAAGAACAATCTTACTTTCATCAGTCCACAAAATGTTGCGCCATTTCTCTTTAGGCCAGTCAATGTGCTCTTTGGCAAATTGTAACCTCTTCAGCACGTCTTTTTTCAACAGTGGGACTTTGCGGGGGCTTCTTGCAGATAGCTTGGCTTCACATAGGCGTCTTCTAATTGTAACAGTACTCACAGGTAACTTTAGACCTTCTTTGACCTTCCTGGAGCTGATTGTTGGCTGAGTCCTTGCCATTTTGGCTATTCTATCCATTCG